CACAGCAATGAAAACCTCGGATAGGAGGAAGAGTGCTGCTGTGCGGGCAGGCAGATGTCTTGCTTGGCTGTTGCTTGGGGGGGGGACTTTTTTCAGTGCCATTGTCACTTCAAACAGTCACTAAGTGAACTGTTGTAAGTTGAGGACTACTCATACTTTATCACTTTTTTCTTCTTCTTTTTTTGGTCATCAAGTTTTTGACACCTTGCTAGGCGACTGGTGGTACTCGGATGTTGCCATATCTTAAAAGTGGTACAATGGGTGAAAAGGTTGAAAAGCCCTGTCCAAGAACATAGAATAACAAAGTTGGAAGGGACCTTGGAGGTCTTCTAGTCCAACCTTTACTTGAGCAGGAGACCTTATCACATTCAGGAGAAATGGTTGTCCAATCTCTCCTTGAAATCCTCCAGTGATGGAGCACCCACAGTTTTGGCAGGCCAGCCCTTCCAGTGATTAATTGTTCTCACTGTCAGGAAATTTCTCCTCAGTTCTAGGTTGGACCTCTCTTTAATAATTTTCAACCTGTTACTTCTTGTTCTGCCCACAGATGTTTTGGAGAATAGATTGGCCCGCCTTTTCTCTGTGACAGCCCCTCAAGACCTAGAAGGCTGCAAACATTTCGCCCCTAGTCCTTTTCTTGGTTAGGCATACCTAGTTTTCTCAATCATTTATTGTACCCAGATGCCTTGTCATCTTTGTTGCTGTTCTCTGATTTCATTCTATAGTCTTAGCATCTTTTTTTGCATCATAAGTGACCAGAATTGGATGCAGTATTCCAAGTGTGGTCTTACCAGTGCAATGTAAAGAAGTACTGTCACTTCAGGTGATCTTAATACTATCCCTCTGTTGATGCAGCCTGGGACTGCAATGGCTTTTTTGGAAGCTGCAGCACAGTTGCTGACTTATACTTAAGTGGTAGTACACTAGGAATACCTAGATCCATCTCACAATTACTACTGTTGAGTCAGGTACCATATACCTGTGCATTTGGGAGGAGGGTTGCCTATGTGGAGGATCTTACTTTTCTCACCATTGAATTGCATTTTGTTGGCTTGGGCCCAGTGTTCAAGTCTGTCAAAATCCTTCTGAATCTTGAGTTTATCTTCCAAAGTGTTAGTTATTTCCCCTAACTTGGTGTCATCTGCAAATTTCATGAGTTGCTCTTCTATCCTCTCATCTAGATTATTTTAGGAACATTTTGAAAAGTACTGGGCCTAAGACAGAACCCTAAAGTACCTCACTACATGCTTCCCTCCATGCAGATGTAGTTCCATTAAGGACTACATGCTGAATGTGGGTGGTTAGTGGACTGCAAATCCATCCGTCTAGCATGATCTTTTCTTAACAAACCATGTTGGCTTTTAGTAATCACCTTGCTCAATTTTAGGTGCTCAATTTTAGGTGCCCGCAGATCGCCCAGGCGGCCCTGCAGCACCATGGTGGCCACGCCCTCCGCCCGTGCCCCACAACATCATCTGCTGCCCAGCTGCTATGTGCTTGGCTGCACCTGGGGGGTGACTCTCCTCCGGGGGGGGCTGCTGGTTAGGGGGAGGCGGGGGAGGCGGGGCTGGGGCGAGAGAGAGGGCTCCGAGTGCCGCCTCTGGCACTCGTGCCATAGGTTCGCCATCACTGTCCTACCATATTCTTGCCTATTTTGACTTGCATTCCTGTTCTGTCTCCTATAGTGCAGCTTTTGGCAAGTTGGACTATTTTTTCCTTTTGCATGAAGACAGATGCAAAGAATGAGTTGTGTAGTTCCACTTTCTCGCTGCTATCTGTCAACTCCTTGCCATCTTCTCCAATTAGTGGACCAAAGATTTCCTTGACTTTTTTTCTTGTTTCTTACATATTAAATTTTTAAAATTATTTTTCGTATTTGTTGCATGCCTTAATAATTCATCCCGAGCCTTAGGTTTCCTGACTATCCTTGCTGATTTAGGCTATTTACTGGTATTCTGCGTTAGTTATCTGTCCCTCGTTCCACTTTTAATACTTGTCCTTTTTTCTCTGTTTTCCGGAGAGATCTTTAGGCAACTATGCTGGTTTTATCTGGTTTTCTTGGTTTTTTTCCCCGCGTTATTGTGTTAGATTATGCTTTTGTAATCTTATTTTTCAGTTTCCTGAGCATGTTGAGTCATTTTCCCCTTTAGGATTTCCATCCATTGAATCTTTCTTAAACTCTTAGTTTATTGAAGTCAGTTCTCTTAAAGTCTAACACACTAGTCTGACTTTGTTCACTTACTTGTGCCTGCATTATATTAAATTCCAATATCACCATAGTTACTCTCCCCCAAAGCGCCTTTTACTTCAACCCCTTCTATTATTTCAATTCTGTTAGTAAGAATTTCCACTATAGCTGACCTTCTAGTTCCCTCCTCTACATTTTGGATGACAAAACTGTTAGCTAGGCTCGTCAAGAATCCACTTACTGCAGAATTTGTCTCCCATTTGATGTCAGAGTAGTTACTACTTTGGTGCATACCAATTACAAAAAGTTCCATCTTTTTCTTCTGCTTGGTCACATGACCTGTGGTCTACATCTATGGCAATGTCATTCTTTTTTCCTTTTATATTAACATAAATGCATTCAAGGCTTTCACCCTTTTTTATGCATTTCTCTAGGGGTGTGGTGATTTCTTACATATAATGCAACTCCACCTTCTTTGGGTTAGGTCTGTTTCTTTTAAACTATTTGTATCCTTCTAGCAGTACATTCAGTCATGAGTTACATCCTACCAAGTTTCAGTAATGGCAGCAATATTAGCAGAACTTAGAATGAAATAGTCTGGAATCAAAGGAGTAAATTGCCTTCTCATTTCCTTGTAATTCTCTACATTTTCTTTTTCATTCTCCTATCACTTCTTCCACTATTTATGATCATAGTGTTTATTAATACATCATGCTGCTATTAAAGCAAAGGATAATTGGAGAAAAGGCATGCATATGAGCTGTCTGGCCAATACCCACTTTGCATTCTCATTATAAATTGACAAGTGATAACTGCATCTCTAAGTATTTTTAGATATATCTCCATCTCTAAATATGCTCGTATCCAACTCTCATTTCCATCAACCAGAGTTGGGACAACCATGGCCTTATAGCCAGCCCTATTCTTTCAACAAACAATTATTTTTGCACACTATTTTTTTCACTACATTTGCAAGATGTAATATCTTTCTATCTGCATTCTTACCTTTGGTAAACTTTCTACCAACATACATAAGCAACTACTTATAAATAAAAATCATTAAACAAGGGGATAGCAAACCAACTTGTTTTATTCCCTATAAATGCTGAACCATTTATTAAACATTTCATTCTATAATATTTGGTGGACTACATGCCCACAGCATGGTATGATGCTGAACATCACTTTCCAAATGCCTTATAAATCGAAATAAATCTCTTCCAGCTCCAGCTGGTAACTTTACACCAACCAACAGATAGGATGTAAACTTGGAAATGATGGAGAGGTTATTGAACTCTATGCAAACAGCGGATGCTTACTCTGGGTTTGCTGAATTAGATACAGAAATATCAATTCCTGATTTATCAGTTCATGCACCTGAGTAAGAAGAATTAACCAGCTTTGAGATAATGGTTAAATTATAAAGACTCTAGTGCATGAGTTTCCAAGTTGGCACAACAGGGATTTATAAGGAATTGAAAAGTATTAAAAGTCAAATCTCCAATTTCAAAAGAATTGAAAACCTAATTCTTTTTCACGAAACCAACTTGAAGAATTCAGTAGCAAAGTGCTACTCAATCTCATGCTAAAATAACTACATATTTGGGAAACTGGAATGGTTAGTTCAAGCACAGTTCATGAAAAAAAAAGTTAAAGGTAATAATGTTTTATCTATGTTTTATTTGGAAAACTTTTTAAAAGATCTTTTTCCACTTCCAAATAAATACATATAAAGACTTAAAATACAAGGTGCCTATGGATTCCCTTTGATATTGATTGGCTCCACTTAATTTCCTAAGATCTTGCATTTGTGATCATATCAGGCAGTGTTTAAGGCAAAGCCCACTGCTGGAATACAAAGGATGTAAACGGATGGTTTATCCTGACCTTGTGATTCAGGCTGTAAATTGCAAAGAAACTTCAATGACATTTGTTGCCTGAGAAGTTTTTTTCTCTTTTCTGCAATCTTCTGCCTTTCTATAAGAGAGGAGATTTGCAGATCTGTCAGCAGCTATAAAATTTATGAATGTGCTAAGAATTTCTGATGTGTGATTTGCTTTCCAACCTCTAAGACCACAAGGGGGTAAAAACAAATTTTATTTTATTTTTCTTTGCTAAGGTGGGTCAATAGTAAAGCAGACATGAACTAAGAGAAGTGTAAGCTGCAGCCTTAATTGGTACAATTGAGGTTCTACCTTAGGATTCCGCAAGTGGAATTATGGTAAGCCTTACAAATTGATATCTACTCCCTCTATTTTGCCTCTAGAACTTCCATTGGGGCCTAAAGAAATGCAGAAGACTCTAGCACAGTGTTTCTCAACCTTGACAATTTTAAGGCATATGGACTTCAACTCCCAGAATTCCACAGCCAGCACTGCTGGCTGTGGAATTCTGGGAGTTGAAGTCCACATGCCTTAAAATTGTCAAGGTTGAGAAACACTGCTCTAGCAGTTCTTCAGCTGATCATTTTCAAGTGTATTTTTTTCTAGTCAGATACTATAGGAATGATCCCTTAAAGTGCAGTTCACCTACTGATTCCTTTTCATGCCACTGCTTCTTCCAGCCTCAATCCTAAGAGTCTACCAGCTTATCCGAGCTCTGTTATTCTGCTTGCTCCATCTGAGAAGTCTTCTAAATGAGAGTAAACTTTTTAATTGTAAATTGGATGACACGGTGGTTAAATAGACATATAGCTAACTTGAAAATTGTATTCAAAAATACTCATCAATCATCTGCAATGTACCTGAAGGAAGGTATCAAGGGATTGATCAAGTGGAACAGTCTTTCATAATTATTGTTACATGAGACTCACCTAACCATTCGTTGAATTTTTTAACTTCACTAGGAAGTCCCAGTTCAGTGAAATCACCAGCATGAATTAAAACATCTCCATAAGGCATTTGAATTGGGTCTGTTCTGGAGTGAGTATCAGACACACAAACAAAACGAGTGTATCCTGGAGCTCTTGGAGCATCATGTGGAACAGGATCTACCCTACGTATAAAGTTTGAGACACAAATATAGATGTTTTATGTTACATGCACATATCTAGTTGATAGCCCCAATATAAAATATGCTTTCAATGTATTTGAAAAACAAGTTAAATATTCAGCTTAGCCACACATATTTCAATTCCAAGAGTTTTCACCAATTCATAGACAAAATAGCCACTTATAACTATGTTTAAACTTTTCCTAATAAAAGGCATTTCTCAGTTAGGTTTTACACCTAAAGAAGAAGTTCATTGGCAGATGGCCTTTAAATGTTTTAAATTTAAATACAGTTTTAAAATACACATTGTGACTTATAAGCACAACTAGTTTTTAGAGCAACATTTTGCAGGGCTTGACTGCCACGCATTACGCACCAATGAAATCTCAGTTTAACTTGAAACTTGAGACAAATAATTTTTTGACATATACGCAAGATGTAACTAATTAGGAATTATATATTTTAAGTTACTATACAGAATAATAAATTAGAATATTTTTTCCTTAGAGGCTTTCATGTTTCCTTGATAGAACAAAAACTGGCAGTTTCATGATTCAATGTAGAAATAAATGGGTTTTGAAACCATTCCCAGAAGCCTACTAGAACTAATACTTCAGCCTCATAATTCTGTCCTTCTGGTAAATAAAAGAGCAAAATAGACATACTTTCTGCAATAATGTCCCGAACCTGCAGCTTAAAGCTTTGTGACTAGAGCTTTCTCTCTTTTTTGGGAGATAAATCAATCTCACAAGAGATAAATAAAATCAAACATTTTTTTTTAAAAAAACACTCCAAGGTAGAATACATGAAAGCTAATTTACAAAAATGCAATATTCTTTGCAAACCAAAAAAATGATACAGGTCTGCTGAAATTTGAGAGGCAGGATACAATCTCTGCTTCCAAATTAGATTTCATCTTAAAAAATAAAGAAAAAAAAATAAATCTTATGGAAAACAGCTTGAAATGACCCAAAATGTTCTACAAGTACAAACAGTAATAGAGAATAAGGTTTCTAATCAAATACAGGAAAATAAATAAATGGCCTGATAAAGATTCCCTGCTAAAAACATTTTTTTATTTCTTAATCCTTGAAATTCAGTGGCAGATAAACTTTGATAATGGGAAATCCATGGTTCAGTTTCAATTTGTAGAAAATAGGCAAATAATATCTTTGCAGAGCTAATTATTGTAGTTTGCAAGTCATATACTATATTTTATACATAATTTTGGGCCAAAGGGAGGGAGCATTATTTAGTTGAAATTAATCAGAACTATATTCTGGCTGAAAGAAAAAAATATTTCTTAGAAAATATTTGATCTTACATTTTAATGCTGAATTTAGCTGTAGTTAAATATTTTTTCTTTCCCTTCTGTCTCTCAACTTTATTAATAGTTTTCATTTTGAAGTTATGGTGCTTATTGTTATATCAAAAGTAAATTATCTTCAAGAGCAATTACCTTTACAGATATTTTCATCTACCAAAAAATAAAAAAAATATTTTAATTACATCTTACTATCCTCTTATTCACATTGGGTCTAAATTAAAATAAGCTCTTTTATATGAATGCTCACATTACCGTATATTCCGGCGTATAGGGTGACCCGGCATATAAGATGACCCCTTAGTTCGACGCCGGGTCGCAAGACAATCGACGCCGAGTCGCATGCCTAGAAAGTCGTCTTATACGCCGGAAACTACCTTATTTCCGGCATATAAGACGACTCGGTGTATAAGACGACCCCCGAGTTAGGAGGCTGTTTCGACGCTCTTAAAAGTTGTCTTATACGCCAGAATATACGGTATTTCATTAGCTCTGCCATTCTTTGTTAGTGCAGATCTCTGACTCTCTAGTCAAGCAATAGTAAGATATTTTTGCCCTAAAACAGACATCACATTAAAAAACATAGAAAAACATAGAAAACTGAGGGCAAAAAAGCACCCAGTGGGTCATCAAGTCTGCTCTTTGAGTTTTTAATTTTTGTTTTCTTTTTAATTTATTTATTTTTAATATATATAATATATAATAATAAAGTTGGAAGGGACCTTGGAGGTCATTGAGTCCAACCCCCTGCTCAGGCAGGAAACCCTACACCATTTCGGACAAATGGCTGTCCAGTCTCTTCTTAAAAACTTCCAGTGTTGGAGCATTCACCACTTCTGGAGGCAGGTTGTTCCACTGGTTAATTGTTCTAACTGTCAGGAAGTTTCTCCTTAGTTCTAGGTTGCTTCTCTCCTTGATTTGTTTCCATCCGTTGCTTCTTGTTCTGCCTTCAGGCGCTTTAGAGAATAGCTTGACTCTCTCTTCTTTGTGGAAGCCCCTGATATTTTTTAATTTTTGTCAGATGAGAGACATGCATTTGTCCCAAGCATATTTGAACTCAGTTACTGAGGATTGACACACTATCTCCGCTGGAAGTTGGATCCAAGCTTCTATTGCTGTTTCTGTGAAGTAATAGTTTCTAACTACTTTTGAATTTCCCTCCTGTCCATTTCAGGTTATGCCCCCATGTTCTTGATTTTTGCTTAATACTGAAAATCCTGCCTTCTAGAACCTTATTCACACCCTTAATATATTTAAAGGTTTCAGTCATGTCCCCCCCCCCTTTCCCTTCTGTTTAGTATGGTTACCCGGTATGGTTAGGAAATGTTGCTCCAATTTTATATGTACTTAAAACTCCTGTAACTGCCTGTTGCTACTTTATGAAATGCATACATGCACACCCACAGAGTTATCCTTTGCTTTTATTAATAAAAATATTTATTTCACCTAGGAATTATTCTCGGGGGCTATGGAGTGGTGACTGCTCCATGAAATATCATATTGACACAGTAATAACCATTCAGTAATCTGTGATACAGCAACAGGTGAATGGTAGGACTTACATTTGTACGTGAGGGGGTTGGAAACGTCCCTGGTTAATGTTGTAGAAGGTGAAGGCCTGGGTTGGATTAGAACTGTACTCATCTACTTCAATTATGAGTCGACTGTGTTGATGCCTTCTAGCCGTCATAATGTGTGATTGGGCAAATGCCATCTTTGCTCTCTGCAGCAATCCTCCTCTTTCACAGAATCATCTCTCCATATTGGCTGAAAACATCTCCCGGTCTCTCTCTAGCTTATCATGTAATGTATAACTTCCCCTCCTGGATTCTGAAAATGTAAAATCAGATTGAAAACAATGATACTGATGCAAGTGTTTGATAATTCATCTGCTTGGGATGCATCTTATTTATTTACTGTCACAAATTTATGAGAGGAAGACAAATGTTAACAGCTGAAGTATCTCATTACAAATATCTCCAGTTCAGCAAGTTGATGAATATTATTTAGATGCAAGAAAGAAAAGAAACTTGTCAAAGACATGTTAAAACAGGTTTCAACCGTTAGGAGGCTTAATCACAAATCTATTGAATAGAGCATTACTCCTTAGAAAATGTATGTCATCTTTCAATGTTTTGCAAACACAGTACCAGTCATGTATCAGTAAATGTTTACATTATTGTTCCAACATAGTCGGTATGACTATGTATGAAAGGTTTGTAAGTAAGTGTTCCAAAAGATCTATATTATGTCATTTTCCTGTATTTAAATGATCATGATAAATCCATGAATTATCTGAAATGGCTAGAGCCATTAAAAATGTTAGTCAAATTCAGATAATAAGGTACCAGAAGTGTACTTTCCTTTCATGATCTTCCCTAGAAATTAATAAATTGAATATATTTCAACATATTTCAATCACCCAGTCACTTAAACGATGCACATCCTTATTTCATTTTGTTGAAATGATGCTGATTTTTGTAAATGTTTCTATAGCCCACCAATCAGTTCACCATTTTTTCAGCTCTCTAAAAATAAACCAATTGCATATTCTCCAGCGATCTTTATCTCTCAGGCAACCCATCCATTTGTATACTTCATAGCTTCTTTTGTTACTTATTTATCAAACTTTAATCCCTGAGAGATTTTCAATGAAATAGTCCAAATTCTATGAAGAGATAGGATGATGATGATTGTATCTCATTGATTTTTAAAAATTCCTCCGTAATTCCGTTTTGAATGTTTTAATCTGATTTTTAACTGTTATTTCCACATTTGCCAAAATTTTTATACAGATTGAGATTCAAAGTGAGGGGACACTCAGCTCTTCAGTTATTTATAGCAACTTTCATTTGGGGTGTGAGCTTTTCAGTGGAAAAAGCTACTTTCATGTTACAGTATTTTCTAGCTTTACAGTAACTCATTTCTAGGGCAAACCAAATTGTGTGTACTTAGAAGTACTCTATTTAATGAGACTTACTTGTATGTGAATGCAGATCAATCAATCTAATTTGCTGAGAACTTACATTGTTTAAATCTCGGGGTCTTTTTGCAGTCCATGTTCACCTTGATGAAACTGCAGCTTCTGAAAGACACCAAACAATGGGGGGGGGGAATTGTTTATTTATTAGCAACAAATAATTTATTAACAAGCAAGATACATTTACATTTCTCCTAAATAGAAGCAGCTTGGCACAGGAAAATCACATTTAATTTTCTCAGTTTGTCTGTTCTGAAATAAGAGAAGACCGAAGGCAGTATACTGTATATTCATTGTTCAATTAGATTTTAAAAGATAAGGGTAACATTTTATATGAGTCAAGCTTGGGAGGATAGGAATGGTTGAGATTGATGATGGGAGTGATGGAAAGATAGGTTTCTATCCTCCCATCCCCCCACCATCCAGTCACAACTGATGAAGCTTTTTGGATGAGAAGCAAAACATCTTTTTCTTCTTCCACAAAAACCAATCCAGTTGCCTTTTGAGGAAAACAAAGCACCTTTGAGACAATACTAAATTATGGTCCTCTGGCTGTTTTCATCTTTTATCCTTACTGTGAGTTGGTGTGGTGTGTGTGTGAGAGAGAGAGAGAGAGAGGGAGGGGGGGGAACGACAATATCGTTTATATCAGGGGTTCTCAACCTTGGCAACTTTAAGACTTGTGGACTTCAACTCCCAGAATTCCTCAGCCAGCTTTGCTGGCTGAGGAATTCTGGGAATTGAAGTCCACATGTCTTAAAGTTGCCAAGGTTGAGAACCCCTGGTTTATATGGTACATTTTTTAATTATGAGAAAGTTGACTCTTTCTTAAGTTTACAAACTGCTGACCCTCACTTGCTCTCTTATCATTTTTTTTCCTCAGAAGAAAAAAATATTCCTCTTATTGCAGGCAAGCATGTATCTTGATTGCTAGATGATAGAGAATAACTGCAACTTATAAGCCAATCAAAAGAAAGCTCCAAAGGATGTATCGCATTGCTATGAATAATCCTTTTAGGTTACCCCTTCTGTATTTCCTCAGGGTCATACAAACCAGCAGTGGAGAACAGAGTTTGGCTCTGTTAGAATAGGGGTCTCCAACCCTGGGCTGTGGACCGGTACTGGTTTGCCGCCTGTTAAGAACTGGTCCACGCTAGTGAGCAAAGCATTATCGTGCATATGTGGGATCTAGGTAGCATGTGAAACCAGCACCACCACCCCGGTCCATGGAAAAATTGTCTTCTATGAAACTGGTCCCTGGTGCCCAAAAGGTTGGTGACCGCTGTGTTAGAATATAGTTTTCATGTATTCTATGCAACAACTATAGCTATCCAGTAGATGGCAGTGTTTATATGTTTGCATTTATGATTTCCTGTTTCCTTCTAGCAGTTTAGCAGAAATGTCCATGTGGACTGTGCACTTTGTTTGTTCTGTAGGGCTATATACAGAATTTCTAACAAGCTCAACAGCTGAACGGTTGCTAGAATTGGGTATGTCTAGTTTAACGAAAAGAAGGACAAGGGGGGACATGATAGCAGTATTCCAATATCTCAGGGGCTGCCATAAAGAAGAGGGAATTAAGCTATTTTCCAAAGCACCTGAAGGCAGGACAAGAAGCAACGGGTGGAAACTAATCAAGGAGAGAAGCAACCTAGAACTAAGGAGAAACTTCCTGACAGTGAGAACAATTAATCAGTGGAACAGCCTGCCTCCAGAAGCAGTAAATGCTCCAACACTGGAAGTTTTTAAGAAGAGACTGGACAGCCATTTGTCCGAAATGGTGTAGGGTTTCCTGCCCGAGCAGGGGGTTGGGCTAGATGACCTCCAAGGTCCCTTCCAACTTTACTACTATTACTAAACTGCTTCTATGCAAACATCTTTGGCTCCAGCACCTGGTCAACTTTGGGTGATCTTAAAAAAAGCTAAAGACCTGATTTATGGTAAGGTAAGGGAGATTATCGGACAAGGGTGACTGCAGACTGGAAGCCAAAAAATTCAAGATGGTGAGCCATGTGATCAAAGTTCTACCTCTTTTTTTACATGATGTACTGGAAGTACAAGTCTTCCTGGATTTTTTTTTTTTAAATCTTGAAAGTCCAGCCATTTATTTTCTTGCAAAATTTTACCACTTGCATACTGCCCCATTTCTACAAATTCTGATTTTTCTGAAATTACAGTATTACTATCAAAAAATTAAAAATAAACCAATTAGTGCATCTATAACCAACCAAAGCAACATAGGTATATCCCCATATACTCCGCTATAGAGTAAGCAGAGAACTGAGCTTTAGCAACCTGTTGTGATAAAGAAAAACTAGATAATAATTACTCCTCAAACGAAAGTAATATTTTTTTCAAAAGTGGGTCCAATACCATAATTTGGCAAATATCTGTTTAATAGAACAAGGCAGGTTTTTTTAAATGCCTTTCCCTTTCTCCTGATATTGGAGGGAGAAAATTGGGTCAGTTAGCAAATAGATGGACTGAAGTATTACTGAGTTCCTTTTATTCATTGGGAACCTATTATATACCAGCAGCCATTACAATCTTTACAGCAGAAATAATCTCCCAGATGTTATTTGGCCCCAAGTGTGCTCCTATAACAAGTTAAATCCAATAGAAATCACTGACCAAAATTTTAAAGAGTTGTTTCAGTCTGCAGGAATTGAATCTAGAATGGATCCCTTTGCAGTAAAGTCCTGTATTGGTTGACTTAATTATTGCCTCAGATCTAGGGATTCTACTCATGTTGATTTGAGCTCAATATAGAAGATCCAATTCCAGAAGGACATAAACCAATGTGGGTTTTGCACGCAATTTTTGCTACTCCTAGGGCTAAATAGGGCTATTATGGAAATGGAAACTCATGTTCCAGGCAAGATATGAGAAGAGGACGTCGGGAAACCTTGTCAGATTGTCAGAGATTTGAATTTTTTATCCCAGTCAAGATCCAATTGGTCTTATCTGTTTAAGCCACCTTTTCTCTCTCCTGCTTTAATATGCCACCTGGCAGCATCAAAACCAAACCAAATATTTATTACAGCATTGAGTAGTTTAAAATAAAAGATAACCAGCAAACAAATATTGGAATAAATATGGTGGCAAGACCCCTAAAAAGCCTCTGATTCTTAAACAGTCATGTTAAACCTGACTAGTTACAGTACAAAAACTGGGCATGTGAAGAATAACAGCAGGAACTATATCTGCCAGTTAAAAGAAAATACAAAACACATCCTATATCTCAGCTATAAATTTAAAAATGGAGCAATCTGAGTGATACCAATATCCTTAGCCAATTTCAGTCACCCTTGAGCCAAAAGGGCTGATTTGGTCTCAGTTAGTTTGTTGGTTTGTTTATCCAATTAATTTATTATTGCAATCTACCAGGTGGTTAGCAATTAAAAAAATCCAATAAGGGAATAAAACATCCATAGCAAGAAAAATAAAGCAAATTAAAACACCCACAATAAAAGTAACAAAATAATAAGCAGAGCAGTAAAACAAGATAGCATAATCTCAGCTGTTCCCAAAGGTCTCATTTGAAACTCTGCTTTAAATAACTCCTAAAAAGATGGAATGGGGCAGTTATTCCATAAAGTGAGCACCAGGACTGAAAAGCTGGACTAGAGAGGGTTATATCCACCTTTGATCTAAATCAGTCCCTGGAGATCACTAGCAAAGGCATAATATTTGTATCCCAACTTAAGAGTGCCAACTTATTATAATGATTTTAGTTGAAGTTATTTGTTAAAGCACGATGTTCTTCATTCCATAATTATTTTGAATTCTTTTTTCGATAATCTGATTTTTCTGTATAATTCTGTATAATTAATAATAATTAATAAATGGTTATCGAATCTGCCTGCATTTTACCTTCATAACAGAATTTTTCAAATGTCCTTCTTAAATTTTCAATCACAGCAATTTTCCATATTTTTAAATACCATTGGTCCCACTAAATATGGACTTGGTTTTCCAGCATTTTTCAATAATAAATCAAAGAAGCTAACAAAAATACTGAATTCATCTCTTATACTGCGTTAATGTATCTACAAACAACAATTTCCTTACATTTCTATCAATGGACGCTAGAAATATTGAAATGTACATAGTATAAGAGTCGCTTTTATATGTGTATGTGTAATGCTATCTTTATAATTAATTCATGAAGACTTTCATTCTCTTTAATCTGAACTACAGCAGTGGAATGAATATATGGTAAAGGGTTTTTTTTTTCTAAATCCTTGTCTTTTATAACCAAACATACAGAACATACATATTCATGCATGGAACTAATGGCCTGTATCAATAATAGTGTGCTAAGTTTTTAACGCTTAACATTTTTAAAATTATCCCAACTAGCCAGAAATATGTCAGATTGCCATGCTTGATACGCAAAAGAGTGACTGCATGGATGTTCTCAGAATTTCCATATTAAAGACTACAAAACATGAGCATATAAAATTAGGTAGAGTTATGACCAAAAAAACCACTTTTCATGGTATAATCTTTCACAGATTCATCTAGCAAATCTCTCACCCCAGAATATATATATGGGAGGAGTTTAAGTTTCAGAATAATTGAATGCTATGAGTTCCTTTTTCACATGGAACTCCCAACTACAGGAAGAAAAAATAAATGATCTAATGGTATTCCTTGTTTGGAACAAATGCTGCTTTTAAAAAAGATCTACAAGTTGCATACAAAAACCCAACCCTTTGTGAGAAATTAAAGACAAAAATCAACATTTTTGGTGAAAGTTAAAAATAGAATATTAAAACCAGTTGAGTAATATAAATGATGTTTAAATTATGGAAAGCAGTTTATGGAAATGTACCCCAAATATACAGCATTGTGCAAAAGTGTAGGGCGGTTGTGCAAAAATGCTGTAAATTAAGAATGCTTTCAGAAATAGAAGTGTTAAAAATAATGGATAAAAATAAACTATTATCAATTAACTCAATAGAAAGTAAATGAACAGAAGAGAAACCCAAATTAAAGCAATATTTGGCATGACCAAAGTATTCATTTACTTTCATAACATTCATTTACTTTCCATTTTGGTGATTGATAAAAATAAACTATTAACACTTCTATTTCTGAAA